TAAACAATAGGGCACAACCTAATAATTTACATCTCATATAGTTAGCCTAGTCTTCCATGTTGATCAGAAATGACATTCTCTGATTATTGTTACCTTTTTAACATGTGATGGCATCAACCACTTGCACTGCTCAGATGTACAAGAAGGAGAGTCTCACATTCTCACCCCGGCTTCAATGGAGAACAGAACTGCCCCCACGTGAGAACATGACTCCGATAGTCTGTGAATAGAACACTATATTATATGTACAACACTAATCCCATAACAAGAATCTCAGCCTACATAGATCACTTACCCTGCCATGCAGTTGCAATGAGCTGCAATAACTTCACCATCTTCCTTCGAAATAATCCACGTCTTCAGAGGTGTTTCACTCGATCTTTGTGAGTGGTTTACCTTGAAACATCAACGACTGTCAGGCTAATGACGTCGTTACTGTGTGTTGACGTTAATCCTCCTAGCTGCTAACTAGCCTAGCGTGCCAGACTCGTACTCCGTTTAATTCTACACAGAATGATAGTTCTCTGTGTAGAATTAAACAGAGCACGAGCCTGGCAGGCTAGGCTAGCTGCTAACAAATTTACGTATAAATCAATCTAAAGACAAAAACTCACCCTGGCGAATACCAGACGATAATCATCATGAAGACGTTTAGTACCGAGGTTGTGGACTCACCCGCTAACAAAAAAATTATATGCCTCGAGACTTTTATATGCTTTCATTTGTTGTTTAGTGTAGATCGACGTCTGAAGGACCAGGTAGTTTGTAATATCAACAGACTCTATTCTCGGCAAAGCCGTTAATTCTGGGGTAAAATCACTTATTTTCATTAAATACGGATCACATCCAACACATTTGTTTGTTAAATCTGTGTACCTTTGTTTCGAAACTGAGTCTAAAGACATGCAATGAGGACTCTCTTCTGCGGTTTCCTCCATAGCTGTACTCTGCTGTTTACTTCCTGCCCTCCAACCAAAATCCACGCATCATTTTAACCATGTGACTGAAACCCTCCTATTACCTACCTACTGTATGCAAGGGTTTCCTATTTCTCCAACCTGGTGTCCCAGAGCAAAGGGAACCCCAAGGTGCTGTTTAACACCATCAGCAGCATCGTGTCTCCTGCCTCTCCTACAGCCTCCATCCACTCTGTTGCAGACTGTGAGAACTTTCTGTCTTTCTTTGTGGACAAAGTCAATAAGGTTAGATCTAGCATCTCTCCTTCAGCCTTATCGCTGCCTCTCCCGACTCCAACCAGGCCCATCATCCTAGATAGCTTTGCTCCTGTTTCTTTGCCTGAGTTAACCAAACTAGTTAACTCTATGAAGACCTCTGCATGCCCCCTCCACATCTTACCCTCATCTTTGTTTAAAAGTGCTTTTCAGTCCATCGGCCCCAGCGTGCTCTCTATAATTAATGCTTCTCTAGTCTCTGGTCAGGTCCCTGCTTACTTTAAGAACGCTGCAATCCACCCGCTTCTTAAAAAACCGAGTCTCGACGCCTCTCTCCATAGCAGCTTCAGACCCATCTCTAAACTTCCGTTCATCTCCAAGATCTTGGAAAAGGTTGCGGCTAAACAACTCACAGCTGCTCTTGATGAACATAACATCTATGATAGCGTCCAGTCAGGTTTTCGTAGAGCTCATTCTACTGAAACAGCTCTTCTTAGGGTCTCTAATGATCTTCTGACTCACAGTGATGCAGGGGACTGTTCTGTTCTGGTCCTGCTGGACCTGACTGCAGCCTTTGACACTATTGACCATCACCTGCTACTGGAGAGGCTAAGAGACTGGGTCGGCCTATCAGGATCTGCTCTGGAGTGGTTCTCCTCTTATCTCTCTGAGCGCTCCTTTTCTGTGGCCGTCTCCAAGTTTAGGTCCTCCACCACCTCTCTTACCCATGGTGTCCCACAAGGTTCTGTGCTGGGGCCTCTGCTCTTCCTCCTCTATCTGCTTCCTCTTCAGCACATCCTGAGCTCCTTCAAATGAATCTCCTACCATCTTTATGCAGATGACATCCAACTGTACATCTCCTTTAAGCCCCATGAGATGTCTAAGCTGCAGCTGTTACACACCTGCTTAGGCTATCAAAACCTGGATGGCTGGGAGCTTTCTTCAGCTGAATGAAGATAAGACTGAGATCCTCATCTGTGCCCCAGACAAGCTGGTTCCCAAAGTCAGAGACTCTCTTGGTCAGCTTGCTTCTCACACCAAACCTTCTGTCAGGAATCTTGATGTGACCTTTGACCCAGCTCTCACCCTGGATTCTCATGTCAGTTCTCTTGTTCGCTCTTCCTTCTTCAATCTCAGGAACATTGCTAAGATGAGTCCCATTCTGTCTCGCTCTGAACTTGAGACAGTTATCCACACCTTCATCTCCTCACGCTTAGACTACTGTAACTCTCTTTTCACGTGTCTGAGCAGAACCTCCCTGAACCGTCTACAGGTGGTTCAGAATGCCTGTGCTCAGCTTCTGACCAACTCCTCCAAATACACCCACATCACCCCGCTTCTCCTCCAGCTTCACTGGCTGCCAGTCAACTTCAGGGTTCATTTCAAGATCCTGGTTCTGGTCTATAGGGCCTTACATGGACAAGCACCATCTTACATTGGTGGTCTTCTTAGTCCCTACACCCCCAGCAGGTCCCTGAGGTCCAGTGATCTAAGCCTACTGGTTGTGCAGCACCAGGCTAAATACCAAAGTTGACAGATCATCTGCTGCTGTGGCCCCCAGACTCTGGAACTCTCTCCCCCTGAGCCTGAGATCAGTGGACTCAGTGGACTCTTTTAAAAAGCAGCTGAAGACTCACTTGTTCAAGCTGGCTTTTGGATGACCTTCTTCACCCCTCTCTCTTTATTCTGCTCTCCCCACCTATTCCACCTTCCTCAGGATCCACTGATTTCCCTCTTTCCTATTCACTCTCTCTCTCTTTCTTTATATTTTTTTAATCACAATTGTCTATTTTTGCTCATTTTAAATATATTTTTAAACATTTTCTAAATGCTTTTTCATAAATTTACTTTTTTTTGTGAAGCGCCTCGTGATTTTTATCTTGAGAGGCGCTATAGAAATGATATTTTCTTCTTTTCTTCTTCTTCTAATTAAAATGCTAGTGAGTGAGCATCCTCAGCAATACTTAATGCTTTTCTGAACCTTAAAATTAGGTTTAAAGAGTTTAATGTTCCAACATAAAGATTTAAACATAAGACAATAAAAGAGGAGCTGAAAGCACTTGTCTGTTGGCATGCGTGACTTAGACCATCAGTTTAGCAAAGCAACACCGCCATCCGCTGCCTGTGACTGGGACGTGCACCACTGGCCATCTCGGGCATGAGTGGAAAAGGAACTGAGCTTCTCTCCATGCTAGTTTGTAACCGTTGTATGTTTATAGTCTGGCACTTTCACACCACACCTGGACAATTTGATCTCATCAAACAGAGCCATTCAGAGATTCTCCTGCATCATCTGGACGTGAGCGGTCAGTGGGATGAAACCAGGTGGAGGAAAAACTGTCCTCTCACCAAAACCAGCGTTTAGAGGAAACATCTGGGTTTTATTCTTGTTCTCATTCAGACTAAATGAGAAGAAATGACTTTCAATAACCCAAAAAATTGACTAAACGTAAACATTCAATCTTAAAATCTAATCTCGTCCGGCAGAGAAGTTAGATTTCCTTTTCTTGGACAGAATCATGACAGCAGCTACATGTCTGAGGCTTCAGTTTTCATCCCATTTTTCCCTCTGATGCTGGAAGAACTAAACATTTACATTTGAAGTCACCACACTTCAGCTGCAACCAACAAAATAACCATTATACATATATACAATGTATTATTATTATTATTATTATGTTATTGTTGTTGTTATTATATACAATCATTGACCATGTTTGAGGTGTATGCAGATATTCTGTCCAACATTTAATACAGTAACAAAATCAGTACTTTTCTCCTGGCATCAAAGCTGCTATATCAAATTAGCTTAAAACTTTTTTAATGCCTCATAACAACCTTCTAACATCATATAGCTATAAATGTCATTTGGACATAAAAAAAAAACAAATGAAGGGGTTCTCTTGCATTTGTTTGAAAAAATCTCTGCCAATTACACGTCATTTGACTGTTAGGCTCACCAAACCGCTGCACCTCTCTGGGTCCTCCAGTCATTAAACACGCACCTATTTAGCAACAGAACACTGCTGGTGTGAGAGATTCTCTGCTCAATAACATCAGAGAAGGAGAAACAGCCGGCTGCTACCACTTCAACTTTAGGACAAACTACCTGAGTCCCAAAAAGAAAAACACAATTTGGAGTCACGAACAACAAAAGTTGTTTGGACTTCGAAAACGACAACTGGTGTTTAGTATCCTCTCATTTCCTCTGGGAACGTAGGTTTCCAGTTCCGGTTGCACGCAGATCCAGGGAAGACACTCGAGGGGAGGGCTGAGTGTTCTGGGACCTAGCTTGTTTGCAGATTCACTATAGCAGCTTTAAATCAGACATCCAGAGTTTTTATCAGCAGGCACCATCTAGAGGTGGATTGCACCTTCAGTCCTTCTTCCTTCTTCTGTAATGACTGCTGGAAGCAAAGCTAAAACACATTGTTTTACAATTATTATTCTAACGTTATGTTGTTTATTCACACATATTTTAAAGACTTATTTGTCTATAAGAAATTATGCCAACTCTGGTACACCCTCAAATGTGCACCCGCGCTCTGTGAGTGACATCTGTATGTAAGCGGAGGTCTAGCGCTATTAGGGACGCTAAATTCAAATTGCATGGGGTTCTAAGCAAAATACTAACTGCTGCAGAGTCTACAATATATCAGAGGGTGAGACTATCACATCTTCAGGTTTCATAATTCCTGAAAGGTGGAAAACTTTGCATTGCTGCTTAAATGCTGATAATATTCTGCTTGAGGGCTTTTCTGTGTTTTAGGATCAGATCGCAGATTGTGCTGAGTTTGAAGCTAACTGGGCATACCCCACAGAGTGCTACTTAGCTTTAGGCACGTTTGATTTTGTAGCGTTATGAAGCTTATAATGGTCTGCCCTTAACAGCTGCCCCTTCACACAGTAACATCGCCAAGGTCGGACGCTTGGTTCAGTATGTTTACATTCCAGGAGAAGAGACAGAAGAAGAGAAGAAGAACGCTTTCCCTTAATTAATCAAAGTACTTTATTTGTGATAAGCTAATCAAAGCATATGTTGATCATTAATAATCAGGTGAATGATCTGTGAAATAAAGATGTCATGAGTTATGTGTTTAATGAATAAACAGGACTGCACCAGACAGACTGATCTACATTACCATGGAAACGCATGACACATTATTCTCAACCAATCAGAACTTTCGTCTGTGGAAGGGCAGAATCTGGGTTGTTTAATGAAAGTCGTCCAATCCGGTTTACTGAGATTTGTAAACAGTTAGGGGATATAAAATAAGGCAACGCCATTTAATGTTCAGTTCCATGTTAACCTCAGCTCCAGTACATCCGAGGTCCTAAGGATTTCCTTCGTCATCATTAAGAAGTTACAGCTGTACTTCCTACTTTGAGCTGAACTGTCGAGCTGGAGATTTCCGTCGTTTGAACCAACTAGACGACGTTCCTTCAAAATAAGAGTGAACTTGTTGACGCCTGCCGATGCTACCTGAGTCGACCCTTCAGACGGGCGTTGTGTGCTGTGACCGCTGTTTCACCAGCTCCAGTACCTCTGAAGGTCCGAGGACCTGGCATTTCCTGATCTACACGGGAGGCTCCACTGGGTACGTAGTTACGGCAAAATGGCGGCTCATGTCATCAGCTTCTGAAGCCTCGTGGTAGCCTAGTCATAACAACCAGATTCGCTACGTCAGCCTAGAGATTCTGAACAACACACACACACACACACACACACACACACACACACACACACGAAACATCCAAATCCATATGCATTCATCATTGAGATAGTCCTGGTAGATTGTAAGAATTTATAATTATAGAAATTAAAGATTCTTAAACGATCCCAACTCTCTCTTTTCTTGTCTCTCAGTCAATACAGAGTGTTTAAGTAAACTCCCTGATGATAAAAACAACCACTTCTGATTATAATACTTAGATCTAATTACAGTGTATAAATATACAACTTCAGATCATTACAATTTGTTGGAAAAACGCAATTTAAAAATCCCTGCCCCAAAGAATTTTACATCAGTTTAATGATGTTTGAGACGATTTTCAAAAACAATGGCTCAGAACCAGCATTAGAATGGTAAAGTAATGCTAAAAACATCCACGTGCTAAGTGTTACGGCCCAGCCTGCAATGTTATCTGAGTCCCTGAACACCACTTGACTTCCAGTACACCCAGTAGATCATCAGCCCGGTGAACCTGTGACTGAGTCATGAACTCATGCCGGTGGTCATGACACGAGCAGTTCCAGGAAAGGACAAACTGTCGCATAACACCAGCTTTAGATTAGGAATTCTTTAATAATATCCTGAAACAGAAGAAATAAATACAGTTTCTCAGGGGAACGCGGCCTGCATGATGCTCAGGGTCTTATTCTCAGCTGTGGGATGAAAACAAGCCTTGATGCTGGAAAGAACAACCAAAGAATGTGACAGGATGAAAATGGAGCAGCAAAGAACGAGCCAAGAAGACAACAACACACATCATCACAGAGAGCATGTGATCAGGTCCTCTAAGCGTCCTCTCATCCCAGGCTCGGCTGTCAGTAAACTGTACTTCGTTTTAAGATGTACGGCCTCCGTGACTTGGCGTTGTGCCCAACTTGCCTCTTCAGTATGTAGGGAGATTTCCGTTTCAGAGGGGCGTCACTGTTCTCCGAATATTCCAGAGAGTCTTGGAGCAGCTGTGAGTGGTAGAGAGAGAGAGAGAGACAGCGATGGATAAGTTTCACCCACCGTGGGAGGAAACGGCAGGTGAGCGTGTGTTTTATTGGCGAGGCGCAGAGTAACGGGTAGCTGTGATTAAAGAACATGCATGACAAAGCAGGAGCTGAGCTGCAGGCCTTGTGTTCAAAAGGAGAAGGAGGAAGAAAGTGTGTGTGTGTGTGTGTGTGTGTGTGTGTGTGTGCGTGCGTGCGTGCGTGCGTGTGTGTGCGTGCGAGCGTGCGTGCGTGCGTGTGTGTGTGTGTGTGTGTGCGAGCGTGCGTGCGTGTGTGTGTGTGCGTGTGTGTGTGTGTGTGTGCACCTCACCTTCTCTCTGCTCTGTAGTGCTCGGCAGATGTGTTGGAGGCTGTAGAGCTCCTCCAACAGCTGGATGCTCCCCTCCCTCAGCTCAGCCACCTCCCCCTCCTCCTCCTCACCGCTCCATAGCCAAGGCTGCCGAAGGCCGCCCACCAACCGACACAAGCTGGCCAGCGACACGTGCCAGTAGGGGGCACTCTGCCTATCGTGTTTGATCTGCAACAGCAACAAGCAGCTGTGGGCGGTCGTACTGAAAGGCTCAGAGCTTGAGGACTCATCAGGTTTTAGTTTTGACCATCACAACAGATGTGGAGAGCGGAGCGGTTAAAACAGATGAATGCTTTATTTCCCTATTTGAGTTTGTTTCGTAGCACCACACAAATACACGTGGGGTTGATTTTCAGCTTAATGCAGTCTCATCCAACATTCTGGCAGGAATTCTAACCCTTCAGATAAAATCTAAGATGCTCTAGCCAAAGTGATTGGAAAAGCTTTGCTGAAGCTAATTTCAGGTCCCATTTGTCATCTGCTCCTCCTCAGGGCATCACTTTGAATTCAGGCAAATAACTTCGAATATTTCTCCCAAAATGAAGCTTTAGATTTGGTTTACATTCTCAGTAAATGAATACATTTTTACGTTTGTATTTCTATTGCTTCCGTAAAGAAAATAAAAGATAAATGTGCCTTTTCAAGTCTCATAAAAGTGACTTCATCCTGATGCAACGTCTCCTCTGGAGAGTTTAGAAGTTCCACGTAGGCTGGCTGCCTTTGATAGACCAGAGGCCGCTGAGGCTCAATCTGAGCAGCACAGAAATATTATCTTCGTTGTTGTTTTTGTTTGTCTGTAGAAGGAACAACAAGCTCCTGACATCTGGAAATCTGCCGTGACTTGATTTGGCCTTAAATGTCTTCATATTTTCTGATGTCAGTCTCCACATACGTGGCATTAACTTACAACAACAGCTCCACTGGTCCCATAAATGAGATTAACACCATCCAAACCCTCACTTCTGATTAGGAAGGACGTTTTTTATCTAATCACAAAAGAAGAGATGCTGAGCAGGAAGTCACTGATTCGAGTGACAGCATCTCCCACACAACGCTTCTCCTTCCAGTCCTTCAAGCTCGTTATCAGTCATCCGACAAGTTATAATCACTGTCATCACCCGTGAGCGGCCACCGAGCATCGGTAAATCACACGGCTGATTTGTCACCATCACGTCTCTGTATGAGCACCGTGGTTATTCGTGGGGCTGGGAGAGGAAGAGGAGGAGTAAAGGTGAAATCTCTCCCTCAGCTCTGATTTTTCTCTCTTCTTAAACAACAGCTTGGATCCTTTTGGCTGCAAAAGACTCCAAAACAGAAACTTCTAGTTATGTCTCCCATTGGGAGGGAACTCAAGCTGATGGTGGAGCCAGATTTAATGAGAGAGTACCCGAGGGTCGCCTTGGGCTCACTACGGAAAGGCTTTTTGTGCTTTCATCCTCTCATGTTAAAGATAAAAACCTACCTTAGAAGTGAAAAGGCTGGTGAGGAGGTCCTCCACTAGCGCTCGCTGATCCTGCTCAATACCTATCAGTTAGAGGGGAATATCAGGATTAGACCATTTAAATGAAATGTTTGGTTGAATTAAATCAGATGTGGCGCTATAGGTAGTTTTTAAAAGCTTCCAACCAATAAAAACCCAGGTTGGTTTTAAGAGTTCACCAGTTTGTAAATGAATGATGTCAAAGCAGCTCATTTTAGCAAAATAAAGCAAACTAATTCATGCTTTCAATATAAAATATAAATTAAACATGTATACTTGATTGTGAAAATATGAGAAATATTTCTTGCCTTTTTTATTCTCTACAAGTTATTTTTTTAAGCTTTTAGCTCATGAAATGTTGTGTTATGAAGGTTGGAAACTACTTTTGGGCAGTAATCAATGTTCAGAATACCAGAAAAGCAAACTTTCGATTTAACTGGAGGAAAGAAGTAGTTATATTGGCTAAGGAGAGAATCTGTGTTGTTAAAAAAACCATACAAACTCTGGATATTAAGATACTTCAGATTTACAGATTATAACTGATTTAAAACTAAATATCTGTTGGACTTTTTCTAAAAACGAGAGTAAAAATCTTTGCACCTGTTGTAGCTTAAGCGAGGTCCAGATTCTGTCAGAGCTGTTTGTTGTTCAGATGAAGAACATGACTAAACCGTTCCTGGTGAAAGATCTCTGTAGCTTACCTGAGCAAAGTGCACCACACGTGAAACAGAGGAGAAGCAAGCATGCCAGATGTGCTCGCATCTTGATGGGAAAAATGAAAAGAGCCAAACAAAAAGGAATTCCAGCACTGAAGGATGGCCTGAGGATGAGTCTAGTCCATGAGGTGAAGGACCAGCGTGTTGAAGAGGAGTTTGCAGAAATGATGCTTCTGCTGACTCGTTGTCTTCTCTCGTGTCCTTCTTCACTTGCAGCTCTTACAACACACTTGCAGCTTCCTGGTTGGATGTGAATTGCAGTTGGCTCCATTCTCTGAGTATATATGAGCCAAAGTGATGTCAGACCATCAGTCTGAACCCCCACCCCCCTCCCTCCCCCTCCTCCCACCCACCCCTCACCGTATCATCTCCTGCTTGTCATCTTTGTGACCATCTCCTCAGACATGACTTTGGCATCACAAGGTGAACGTTTTTTTGCGTCATGGTTTGGAAGCTCTTGCGTTTCTCCTATTACCAAAAGCAGTGACGGTGTGATGGGATCAAAAATGACTCATTGTGTCAGAGTTTAGAGAAAAAGAACTGCTTCTACTGGACAGA